CATTTGCATACCACATGGAATCGTATAGCGTAATCGAGGCAAGAAAAAAGGGATTAGCCGGCTACATTCCCTGCTCATATCTGCCACTGTTTCTTTTTGCAACAAATGACATTTCGAGTTTTGTCTGATTATAATTCACTGCGGAATTTAGTTCATTGAATTGCAAGTTTTTGATTATAAAATTGCACGCATTAATTTGTTTAAACCCTACTAATCTTTGGTGATAATTTTTTGGAACTTATTCCAACTTCAAAGAATTTTTTTTAAGTTTTTAGATGGAAAAAATGGCCACATATCCATTCGTTTGCGTAATCCCATCGATTACTGTAATTAATAGCCCAAGCGCTCCCAGGTGCGGGCTCGTGAAAATTTTTGGCAGGCATATTGCTAACTTGAGGACCAGAAAAGCTAGAAAGCGAAAATTTGGAAAGGGGTATTTCCTATCCACTTACAATCTAAAGTCCTCCGAAGGGATATTTCCTACCAGTAAATGCTAACTCGGGAACCAGAAAAGTTAGAAAGCTGGAATTTTAAAAGAGATGTTCTCCATCCACGTACAGTTTAAAGCCTCCAATAGGATCTCACCTACCAGTAATTGCTAACTCGGGAACCAGAAAAGCTAGAAAGCTGAAATTTTGAAAGGGATGTTCCGCATCTACGTACAGTCTAAAGCTCCCCAAAGGAATGTTCCCTACCAGGTAAGATTCGGTGATTCTTAGCGTGCAGTTCTCAGGAGATCTGGATCTTAACTTCAAAATATCCAAAATTTTTCGATTTCTTATAGGCTCCCCCTGCTCATGCAATTGATGGTTTTTTTGCTGCTTTGCAGGAAGATGATCTAATGGATGAGGCGAAATCGCTGAAAGCGGTTAGTGATGAATTAAAAGCAAATGGTTGTCCTCTTTTTGGAGGTAAATACTGTGAACGGCTACCGCAACATATCAGGTAAATAGAGTGGCTTCGCTGGGCTTCTGCTTCGTTATTTTCGAAAATATCTATCAGATTCGTCCAATTTTTGGCAAATTTCCAGGGATAAAGCTGCTGAATTGGATAAACGTTTGGATTCGTTGCTGTCCGGATTTCCGAATTTCAAAAGTAGCATTCGCAGTGAATTGCGATTTCTTATTGCTCAAGGCCTCACAGTTACGGATTTTAAAGAGAAAAGTATGTCGAGAATTTCCTAAGAACCTATGAAATGTGAAGAGCTAGAGCACATACATCGAACAGGCGGTGAATACTAACTCTGAAGGTATGCAGCTTAGGATCGAAAGGCTTGGCAATAGTTGCACCGGATGTTTGGGAATTACGGGTGCTAGCACAGGCACTGTTCCTCGTGCCGAAAATACCAAGATCGGCTGGGTCCCTCATACCGATAGGGCTCAGCTGATCTCGGTATTTTCAGTAGAAAGTATGAAAAAAACCGGATTTTTTACGATTCGTTCATTCGTTTCGATGGAAAATTGATCTTCAAGGAAGATTCAGTTTTGCCGTTTAGTAACTGTTGGCTGCTAGGGTTGGACACTTTTTTACAGAATTGAACGAACGTTTTACCGTATTTGAAGTCGTATATGGTACCAGTACACGTATTTTAGTCTTCATTAGGGGTAGCGCAACTTGATTATTTCGCAATGAAAGAATACGATGCTTAGGGATGTGCATACAGTCAACAGGTGAACAAACAAACAAAAAAACAGTGGAACGAGGTAAACAAACAGCGTTGCAGTGAGTAAACAGTGGAAATTTTTCAATTTGCCTTCATTAGGGATAGCGTAACTTGTTTATATTGCAGTGAAAGAATACGATTTTTCGTTAAAATGCAATGCTGTGTGGTCGTCTGATGCAGTTGCATATCGTTGCATCACATGCGCCTACAATCCATGTATGTTTTCTTGGAGAGAATATCAGAAAAAAATGAGTGGAATAATGAAACGGTGATCTTTTTGAAGCGAAATAAGAGTAGGGCTAGGAGGACCGGCGAACACAGGGGGTCATAAAAGAGAGGAGGGGCCTGGAATAATTACTGGAAAGGAGCTGAGTTCTTGCTTGGAGGTAGGAATTGGAGTGGGGACGCGACATACTGCCATCCGTGGTACCACTGCTCGTTGAATTGTTGGTTTCCTCCTGAGCAAACAAGTATTCCATGTTTTACTGGAATTAGATGAATGAGAGAGGCTCAAAATAGAGAAGAATGGAGAAATTGCCAGTTGCATCGGTGATGTGAAGAAATGAAATGATGAAGCGAAATTTGATTAAATTACTAGGTTGTTAACACCGATAATGCTATGACTATCACTATTTTTCAGGTATGTCGTTATGCGCAGATTGCTTTCGGCTAGCTGGTCATGAGGGGCACGATTCGAATCGATTTTTTTCGCAAGCGGGTGGCGCCTGTGATTGTGGAAATGCGGATGTTTTGAGAGAATCCGGGTATTTTTGTATTTTTATTTGAAATATTTGTCACGATGATTAGGTTTTTTTATTTGAGGATGCTTACAGGAACGGATGAATCGGCAACGACAATTCCCAGAATCACAAATGAATTTTCGCTCTATATATTTTTAGCCATCATAGAGGGGTCCAAGGCGGTTTCCTCGGGGAGGGGAGGGGGAGAAAGAGACTGATTTTAAACGATTCCTTCCTCTTTCCCTCCTCCCGCCCCCTTCCCAGTCGTCCCTGCATCGCAAGCCCTGCATCTCCGCTCCCCCTCCTCGTTAGTCCACCCTACCGTGGAGATCCTGGAGGGGTGGGGTGACAGGGGCTGTTGAAGAGAGTTTTCTTCATTTTAACACTGCTATCTCTGCCGCGAAACATCCACCACCCCTCTCCCCTCTATCCCCTCTCCTCTTTCCTCCCGCGCCCCCTCTCCTTTTCCTGGATCCGCTAATGGTGGACACGAAAATTTATCGCGGTCTCACCCGCATAGTGATACCTGTACACCTGCGTGAGAACTCCCAAAGCAACCTTGAAACGGCTAAAGCCTTGCTAGATGCTTTTAGAAGAAGCATTATGCTGGTAATTCTTTTAGAAGACGAAACACAAACGTAAATGTGGTCAGCAGCTGACCATCGGGCGGTACTGCTTTGGTGAATAAGTGGCTGATAACTAATCCTAACAATTGAAGTAACTTTTGTTCGCGCGCGAGCATCTTGTCGATTCTGTGATAGTTTTGCAGGTTTTGCTATCGACATGGACCGAATGCACGTCGACCTCCGGCACCCTCGGCCGATATTGTATCACTCAATGAATTCATCATTCCGAAACTCTTTGTTCGACTCTTTCTCTTTTTCCGTGGTTGGGTAAGTTCAAAAAAACCTTTTTTTTTTGATTTTTTTACTGAATTTTTTTAATTTATTTACTTTTTGGATGTATTTTTTCTGGGATTTTGTTTTAAGTTTGCGTATAAGCAACCTTCGAAAGAGGGAGCCATGAACGGCCTTGTCAGCGAATAGCTGTTGATAGCACTTGCTACTCTCAGAATACTTTCAAGTGCATGTCCCTTTCGTGAAAAGTATGAAGGGAGTTTTGGTTTTGATTTTATTCTATGATTTGTCAGCGAATTGATGGAAACATCAGCTAGGAAAGGCATGTTACTTGCTAGCAACCGCTTCAGATCGGATAGGAAGTTGAAATTTTTGTAAGGATATTCTCAGCCCTTATGTGCTAAACATTTCAAATTCAGCTATCGCGCATGCACCACTGCTACCAGCCGATGTAGTACTGGGCAAAAAAAACTGGGAAAATTACCAGTTGTATAGTTAGAGGACCAAATTTGTGAATTAAGAGTGAATTGTTTCCAAATATTTTAAGTAATTATTTTTTTATTGCTTGCAGAAAAGGAATTACAATCTAAAAAATGAGCATTTGAGCGAGGAAACCTTCAGTAATCAGCTTGTTCATCGTGCACACATTCTGATCGAACTCATCCAGGTAATTTTTTTTTTTTTTTTTTGCATTTTCTGTGGTTGTTGAACTGGAAAGATGGAAATGTATGGTTTCTAGATATTGAGTTATGGGAAAGCATTTGCTGTGGCATAGCATGTGTGTGAGAATCTGCAAGAATAGTTGACCTGTGATGGTTTTACTCATAACAACGTTTTGACTTCCATGCGAGTCTTCAGTAACAGCTCAACTTTCGTAGGAGTATTCTCAGCGATTTTTGGGCTAGTTCGTTACTGTCTACATGGATCTAGTGGCAATGCTCGAAACGAGGTGTTGATTTGATACAAATCAAAGACGGCTGGAAAAGGCTAGAGCCTTGCTTAAGTTTGAAGAATTGTATGGTTGAGAATGTCTTCAGGACAAGAGACGAGTGTTAAGATCGCCAGAATATCGGTCACCAGCCGATGTAATGCTACTGGTCAAACATTTGGAAAGTTGCTAGCTGCGTAGTTGGAGAACCAGAAAATGAAATAGGAGTTTGCCCAAGTTGTTTTTTCGTGAAAAAATCGCAAAAAGCCGGCAAGAAGCCGCCAAAAAGAAAAAGAGAAGAAAAGAAAGGTGTATATTGCACTGAAAGGCAGATACACAATAGAGGTGCTGCCAGGCTGAATCTGAAGTACTGAAGGCGGGTGGTGTAATGGCAACACGTTGCGTCCGGACATGAAGGAGAGTGGTTCGATTCCCCACTAGCCCTCTACAATTTTTGAGAAGGGCTCAGTTCACGATACAAGCATTCCATAAATAATCATGTCTCTTCGTAATCAGTTTTCTTGCTTCAGCAACGTTTGGGCATATTAAACATAGAATATTCCCTAAAAGGGGAGGTGTGGTGGCGGGTGAGGAGGGGGGGGGGGGGG